TTTTTTTTTTTTTTTTTTTTTTTCCGAAAAATAAAATAACATTCCCGAGTTTTCTTCCTGGCGCGATCGATTTAGGCTTTTGTTTTTCGTCTGCGCGAGTTTCATCGAGTTTGTGAAAGGCAAAATGGGGATCAGATTCATTCTGATGGTGAACAAGCAGGGCCAAACCCGCCTCGCTCAGTATTACGAAAATCTTACCCTCGAGGAACGTCGAGCTCTTGAGGGTGAAATCGTTCGCAAATGCCTCGCTCGTAACGAACAACAGGTAAGTTTGGATTCTCGTACCTAGATCTCAATCCAGTACCTCTGAATTTCTCCTCTGTATCATGTGAATCGATGAATTATTTTTGAATTTCTGTTGATCTGTAAATTGAATGCAAATTAGGGGAGAATCAGCTGTAGTTGGCCCTAGGTACATGTTGATTGTATTGTCCGTAAAAATTATCATTCATAGTGGTTTGTTTGCACATGCAGCATTTATCCAGTGTTTCTTACGCTAGTGATGATTTTACGCAAGTCTACGGTATGATTTTCAGTTACTCTGATGAATAATAGGAAGTTTCTTAAGCCAATGACCACCAAATACTTTGATGTCTAATCATCCATTTCTTGCCCTGGAATAAAATTCACAACAGCAGGAAGTAATGTTAAGGAAAGAATCGATATAGGTTTTCCTGGTTAATACTAACAAGCAACAGATAAGCCAATTCCTATGCTATCTGTCGGTCGGAGAGGGGAACGAAGCATTCCTTACAAGGGTGCGGAAACCTCTTTCTAATGGGTGCGTTTTAAAATCTTGAGGGAAAGCCCGAAGAGGACAATACCTTAAGGGTGTGGAAACCTCTCCCTAGTAGATGCGTTTTAAAACCTTGAGGGGAAGCTCGGAAGAGAAAACCCAAAAAAGACAATGTCTACTAGCAGTGGATTTGGACTATTACACCACGTGTCTTATGGCCATTTTAGTTATAAAGTGATAATCTATTCTGCTTCTCTACCTGCTAGGGGTATGCTGCTGCTCTTTCCTTGCTTTAGTTGAAAAGATTAATCGTGCACAACATTTAGGAATCTACATATGAATATTAGTGCTGTCCGTATATTTTCTTGGAATCCTAACATGTGTTCTATTTTTTGTCCTCTCCCCGATTAGCCAATTTTAGTGCAATTATCGGTTTTTGATTGCATCTAGCATCTATCTTCACTTATAATATTTTCTTTGTGAACAGTGTTCCTTTGTCGAGCATCGCAACTATAAGATTGTATATAGGCGATATGCATCTCTATTTTTTCTGGTTGGAGTTGACAACGATGAGGTGAGTTACTTTGTAGATTTTCTACTGTCGATGATTAATTTATGCACTGATAGTTTCCTTTTGCCTGCAAATAATTAGTATACCATCTTGGAACTCGATATGCTTCGGAAGGAAATAAGTTTATTGTGGCCCATTTTGTGGAATTTATCAGATATGCTTAACACACATTTCTATTATGCATGTGCTTACATACTTCTATGAATATGTTAGACCCCCAGTTGTGAATACATACTCGAAGTTAGCTATAGTTGTATATGGATGTTAGCGGGATGTGTAGTACGGTAGTCCATCGTAGGTGTATCTCTGGCTGCTGTGTTTGGGAAGGGTTTATTAGCAGCTTATATTCGGGTAGAAGGTAGTAAGGAAGCATTTTGTAATAAAACAGTGTTCTAGGGAGAGATTAACAACCCTTTCGAATAGGCTGGGTGTTTTGGCTATTTTGTAATCGTTTTCCTACTCTTATTATCAAATCAAATAGTAAGGAAGTTGGATCCTTGCAGAATATCAATGAGAGAGCTTCTAGATGGCAGTATCAGAGAGCTTCTATGGCTCCTATATTAGCACCTGCTCTAATAAAATGCTTTGATTGGTTAAGTTTTCTTTTGATTCCTCTCTCAAACATTTCCTTTCCATTTCTTGATATTCCAATGTTGCAGAATGAACTCGCAATTTTGGAATTCATTCACCTGTTGGTTGAAACCATGGACCGCCATTTCGGGAATGTGGTAAGCCCTCGTGTTCGATCTGAGATTATGTCTTCCGAACTTCGTTTGCCTTATCGTTTCTTTTGGGAGTTTATATTCTCGACGAGTTTCCTTTTCATCTATCAACGGAAAAAAACTGTTTCTTGTTCAAAAGAAATGTGAGATTATGGGTTCTGAATGATGTTTCCTTCATGGATTTTACTGAATTGTCCGATTGACTTGCAGTGCGAGCTAGATATAATGTTTCATCTTGAGAAAGCACATTTCATGCTGGAAGAGATGGTGATGAATGGGTGTATTGTAGAAACAAGCAAGTCAAACATTTTATCCCCAATACAACTGATGGAGAAATCATCATGAAAAATCTACGAATTATAATGTTTGGTGCAAAATCTTGGCTGTCCTTATACTGTACGTACTCCATTAAAGCTATCGACTTGATGTTAATGAATTTATTTGATTGTGCTCTGTTCAGCCACTTGGTAAAATGCATGTGATAGATCTCAACATCAATCCAAGCCAATTGAAGCTTAATCCATCAACTTTTAGAGTTTCCCAAATTGATTTTACAACTTTTAGGTTTTAGGCTGCTTGGTTCGTGATTTGATAATACAATTTTTAATACCAGGGTTTCAATCTTTGATAATATATTTATGAAATATCAGATTCGATTCTTCTTAAGTCGATGAGAATAGGTTTAGGCTCGACTAGATTTAGAAATTCGTTAGGACGTTTACGAGGCTATTCTTCACGATGGGAATGAATTTTTGTTCATTTTCTCAGTAAATAACTTATCTTTGTTCATTTTTTTCGTTACGACTAAAAATTTAGATATTCATTAAGACTTTTAGGAGGCTGTTCTTCACGTTACAAATTTATTTTTGTTTTTTTTTTTTTTTTTTGTGTTCATTTTTCAGTTGATAACTATTCTTTTTTTTTTCTTTTTTTTTTCATTTTTTCGTCTAATAACTTTAGTAATGGATATCCAACTTAGAATAATCACTCATATGAATAAAAATAATAATAATGCTATAATTTTTTGAATTTCACCATTGCTCTTTCTAATATTATATCCAACTTAGATATTTAAAAAGTTGATTAATTAAACGACATCATTTATATATTTTATAACATTAAACAAGCTTTCATTTTCATCTTTAATCATACTCAAATTGTAATTTTATTCCTAATTTAAGAAACTTATAATTTAGTCTATGTCATTATAAAAATTAAAATTTGATTTCACATTAAAATATAATATATCATTTAATAAATTAAATGGGTCAAATATTGAATGAAATTAGTACTTAGGTCTTAGATCATAACAATAATATTCTTAATCTTTTTATATAATAATTAATCATAACTTACCAACTCTGATACGGTCAAACACATGGGAGAACAAAAACAATTAAAATTTTAATTTGCTTTTGCAAGA